TGTGTGTGTGTGTGTGTGTGTTTGTGTGTGTTTGTGTGTGTTCGGTACTTCCAGTAGGAGAACATGCAGATTTGGTTGATTTAATCTGAAAACTTTCATGTGATGATAATCTGCTCAGCGGCCACACCCTCATCGTAACTGAACAATCAGAAACACATGAATTTCTGGAAGGTTGAAACTAAGTGCGAAAAACACAAACAACATTCAGTCTAATTACCACTGCGAACTTGAGTGGTAGCTGCATTCTATTTATATGCATGAGTGCTACCTTTAGACAGGCCTCCATATATCAGTTTAAAAGGCGTAATTAACCTTTACACATCCCAGAACACTTCCTACTGGCATTATAACATACAGTTACTCTGGGATACACACACACACACAGAAAGTTTTCCTTAACTTTGATGTATGTGCAGCCTGCGAGCGCTTTACTCACATACAATCACACGCTCAAATTGAAGCTAATAATCTTTCCATTCCTGACTGCAGATAACCTCTCAGATTTACAAATGTGTATTTGTGTTGAAGTTGTACTGAGCACATATGTGAGTCATACAACCCAACATTTTAATACGTTTTATCACTTAATTTAAGAAGAGAAAGCCAAAGGTTTCATATCAAGACAAAAGTTGAGGTGAGAAAAATAATCAAAATGTTCAAAGTGTATAAAATGATCTGATATATTGATAAAGAACGTTTAGAGGTAATGTGCTACGTTACTACAATACGTTAGTCGATCCAAATATTTTCCACCACTTGTCTTGGGAATGAAAAAACAACAGGAATTATCTTAATTGTTTTACTCAGGTAACCCAAGGAGGATCTGAGGAGTCCCTAACAGAATTACAGACCATTAGCACCTTTTAAAGTCTCTTCAACCACCAGTCTTCAGTCTAATTAACACTCTAAAAGGTGCAACTCACCCTTCTGTCAGGCTAACATTAGCACCTGGAAGCTGTTGCTTACCTGTAATTTACCTACAGAAAATTAACACTTCACTGAACAGAGGGCCAGGGGATTAGAAAGGTGGTCTGCAAAAAAAGCTGCTCACCTGCTTAGAACATAGTTGTTGATTGCTGAAGTAGGGTTTTGTGTATTTGAGATTTTGTAATTGAAAAGGCCGGAGTGCTGGCGTTAATCGAATTTCTGTCAAACTCGTGAGCAAAATCAAATCATTGCTCTTTACAGATGCAGTTAGGAAAACAAAACAAGCAGAGCATTCAAGAGAGAAGAAGGAAGTACATGACTATATCAGACCAGATCTATTATTTTACTGCCTGTGATATACTTTAGAGAGCTTTTATAAGCATCAAGCGTGACTCCCACCTCTCTTTGCTAAGTGCCATGCGTGGGGGATCTAGGTTGGGATTCTCCATGGACTCCATTTGTGGGCAGCGCAGGAAGTAGTAAAGGGTGTGGAGGGCATCAGGCGACCAGGACACGGGCTGCTGGGGACGGGCGTGGCGAGCTGGACTCAGCCCCGGGCGCACTGAGCTCAGACGCTGCATGTGGTGCATTGCACGGGAAACCAAGTCACCTGGAAAAAGATAGTTCAGATATTAGATATTTGGTTCCACAAACAAATTAAACATGCTTGTTTGATTTGCTCAATTCTATGAGCCAGTGCAAGAGATCAGAAGAGCCCTGGTGACATGAGTAATCAGGCCCTAAACAAAGGACAAATTGTACATTTAAAAAAAACTACAACTATAACAAGAGATCTCAGTGGTCAGTGAAAACCCTGCAGGCCTCCAATTTGTCCGGATTTCCCCTTTTCCTCAACCACTTAAATTCAACCTTCCTTTATTCATTCCTCTCCTTCAGTGTCTCCAGTGGTATTTGCCATTAGTATTGCCATTATCAGTAAGCGCAGCCAGACGGCCAGTCTAAATAGCCATTTATCTTCCATCACTTTAGGAGTTAATGGGCGAACAAACAGTTGATTACAGCCTCTAATGAACTGTTCAGCTGTTTCTGTATCAATGCTGGTGAGTCACTGCATGCAGCCGGGAAAGGTGGGAGGGTCGCATTATAAAAAAGAAGGAAAAGAAGAACTAGTTGACGTTTGTCTTGACCACACTTGTGTGGATCTGAGATTTATTTAATTCAGATTACTGCAGATATGTATAGTAAAAAAAAGTCTTATATAAATACCAACACAGTATGAAATCGTTTAACTTGAACGCACAACTCAAAACAGAGTCTGAACTGAATGGATCTTCACAGGGATGTGGAGGAGGGGCAGCACAGAGGAGGAAGCCCAGGTTGATCGTGTAACGATCATTTAGTATAATCACCCCTGGGTTAATTTCTACCAAGATTAACGTGAGTAGGAGGCTGCACAGAGGCCAAGGCTGGTAATTTTAGCAGAGTGAGTGTGTATGTGTGTGTCTATATTGAGGGGTTTAAAGTACTTCAAGGGGGGGGGGGGGTTAGATTGGAATTGCCTTCCCAAAACACACCCCACTTAAAGCTGAAGGGCCTCCTTTGTGTTAACCACCACCAGCAGTCCCTCCAGGGGGTCTCCTAGGAATTCCTGCCCAAGATGGAGAGCCTCTCCCAGGCTTCCCAGCCCATATTGTGCCCTGCAGCTAAACTGAGCTCCGAGGGTCAGAGGGATATGAAATACTAGATTACGGCTTAAACTGGACTCACTGTGAAAGCCGGGAAATCTCAATTAACTGTGACATGACTGCTTTTAGAATACATGTTGACAAAATGTGCCTCTCAAGTCAAAGATGCAAGATAATGAGATGTTTCAAAGCAAATCCAGCAAAAGCAGTCTCCATGTTTTTTATCTGTGTACACCCTGACCCAAAATGTTTAATTTGCTTTACAGGCTTTAGCACAAAGCTCTTTTATTTGTGAAATCCAGATTGTTAATATTTCCTAAAGTTAAGTGGATGGTCAGCCACTCAGTTTCCCATGGCTGGTGGAAGATGAATGCACGTTTAATGGTTATACTTTATTCCAATAACAATTTTGGAAATTCAGCTTACATGTCCAGTATCCCACAATCCATCATGTTTTTGTACGCTGTGTGTTCGCGTGTCTGGCCAAGTCCAGTCTGGAGATCCAGGCGAACCGGGCAACTTAGCACAGATGCTCCTGTGTCTGCCTGGTCTCTTGGGCTCAGATCAGAGTGCCAAGCCCTCTGTGTTTTTGTTGTGTGCATGCATATCGGTGAACACACGCCTGTGTGTGCGGTTATAGGCGTGAATGAGTCTGGGGGATGCCAGCCCGGTCCAGCTTCACACCACCAGAGAGATGTGGCACAAAGAGACCAGTGAGCAAGAGGGAGAAAGAGTGTGTCTGTTTGAGAGCGTGTGTGTACACTTTCTTAATGCCCTGCTAACGACGGTGGGGTATGAACGTAGCCTTGTGCTGCAGGAACAAATGGCAGAGTGTTAGCGCACTTTGAGGAGGAAAGATATCCACGCTCGAACCAACACTAATCTCCATCCCTCTCCTCTCACCTTGACCTGGCAACCTCCCTCTTCACCTCCATACCTTTCCATAATTTCCCCCGAGTGCCCGGCTACACACACGCACCTAAACCCTGCTGTACCCACTACTACTGTACTACATACTCAAACTTAATATCATAACTTTCCAACGGTTATCCCTTCAACTTCTACTCCTACTCCTGTCCCTTTTTTCACTTTTCGATGAAGTTTAGCTCAATTTAGTGTGATGATAAAAAAACTGATATAGTGAATCCTGCTGCCAAACAAACAAACATGGCATAAGGCATTCCCACTTTATTCCTCAGTGCTTCCATGGCTTATGTTTAAAAGACACAGCTTTGTTTCTTTCTGATTGTGGAAACAAATTAATTACACATCTAGTGTGAAAAGCCTGCTAACATCCAGTATCTGCAGGGCCACACACACACACACACACACACTATTCTGTACTCACTCAGTTCAGAGATGCTGCCCACACAGGTAGCAAGCAGGGACTGTTCCAGCGTCCTCAGCTCCAGTTGGGCATAGGCATCCTCCCTGCTGTCCACAGACGTCTGCTGGTTCTCTGTGTACGGGCTGAAATGGGCCGGAAGAGACAAAACACCTGGAAAGACAAAAACAGCGAGAGGATATTATTATGATTAATGTGATGCCACGGGAAAAAACAATAAACTAAAAAAGCTTCTATCACACTGCTCCTATGTAAATCCCAAAACAATTACAGTGGTGAAATTTACAGAGTATATTTATAATCCTGGTAACACATAATCAACACCGCTGAGGGCGAGTAAACACACGAGGGAACATGAGCTGTGCTCAACGCATTCAGGAAAATAAACAGAGCACACAGTGACATGAGGCTAATACAAACAAACACTGCATCCGACTCCAGTGGTTGAATACAGAGACACAGTAAGACCAAATAAGAATTAATAGTTACCGTGGACACGTTGCTTTAAATACACAAGCATTATACAACATGTACACCTTACTTGCTTGGTGCTACGTGTCATATCTGTAGGTATTTTACATAATACAATTGTAAAACTAGTGGTAAAAGGTTCATTTCTAGGGTACCATCAATCAACAGAGTTCTGAAGGGGTCAAAGACCAACAGCGGCCCCAGACTCTAACCTTTTTTTAAATATAAATCCACCTACAGATGAAGAAAAAAACAAATCTGGTCATGAAAAGATGAGGATTTAACTTCGGACTGGCTGGAAAAATGCATAATGTGAAACAATGACTGTAAAGACTTAAAAACCTTAAATAAAATTGAAATGAACTATGAGTTTGAAGGAGGTAAAAGGAGAATCCTCTCATAGTTGAACTTCATTATACACTACACATTATACAGTAAATAACTTGCAGCAGGATGAAATCACTACATCCACTGTCATGACTTGATGATGTAACTAGGGTCTAAGACATGTGTGGTATTTCCTCTTCAAATGGATCCTCTGGAGATTCATCCAGCAAACACTGTTTTTAAACACAAGTCAAAGTCTAATGAAATTGGGGAAAAAAAGCACAATCTAAAGAATATCCCTTACTTCTCTGGAAATTATATTCAGATATCAGACAAATTACGGCATTAACCCGGTTTACACTTTTATTCTCCATGACAGCCAGGTGTCACACTAATTGCAGACAAGGAGATAACATCACTCCTACACAAAACAACACGTTCTCCTGTTTTCCAGCTGAGATGGAAGAACAGAGATTTGTTTTCTCTGCTGGATCTGTATTATCTTAGTCTGGAGCAATATGTAATTGTTAAAGAACCGGAGTGTGCTGTTAGCTACTGTGCAGCTATAGTTGTTAAAGGTGAAGACGATTAGCTGCTCTTTACTTCACAAATGAGAGGATGGATGAAATGAATAGAGGAATAGAAAGTCATTGCAGGTCTGTGCTTTACTTACGAATCCTGAGGGAAAAAAAGGCCTCCTCATCTCATAGTCTCCCAAAAGGGAAATGATGGACAAGCGTCCCTAAAATGACATTCCCATGTGCTTCCAGTGAAAGCTACCCTCTAATTGGAATCTGCGGAACGTTGAAAAAGAAGAAACCCTCTGCATATTAAAAAAAAATCCCATCAACCTATTCTGAAATCACCATGACACAAGAGGAGATGTGGAAGGGGGAAAAAAAAAACTTGATGACTGAATATACGAGAGAGGGACAGAATATTTCAAAGCTACTAAGGTTACCAAGAAGTCTTTTCACAGAATATACTTGTCTTGCCTCCAGACATTTATCTGCATTATAAATTGTCTGAGATACGGCTGAATGTGCTCACAGTAGATGTGTAACTGTGCCTAAAGCTGGAACTTGCCCAGACTTTGACTACCTTTAAATTCAGGTTTAAAACATTTATGATCCCCACTGCTATTGACTCAACATTAAACCTCCACATTAATCATTCACCTGATGCTTATATATCCTGACCTACTGTGGATTACTTTACAGGTCTAAGTTTTATTTTACGAAACGTTAGTGATTTAAATCTATATTTTCCTCACGATGCATCTCTGAATGTATTACTGCAGTATGTAAAGCTCTTTATCCAGGTTTTTTATTTCCATTTTCAATAACTACGAGCCAAGGATAGATAATACAACTGCGCAAAGCTAATCTATGAAACATGTATAGTATTGAATTGCATGTGCTGGATGTAAACATCATGAAGTCAGTACATATTAAACCTCTTTACACAGACAGCTAGAGGGACACATTACACCAGAGAACGGAGAGATTCAGGACACTTGATATGTGACAGCAAGAGAAAGTCACTTCAGTCTGGAGCGGGGCTTCATAAATGAAAACCATATTGATATACTGTATTTAATGATACAGGCTCCCGAAGGGAAACCAGTCTCGTACAAAAAAAAAAGCATATATCTCTCTCCCTCTCCTATTTGCTCTGCTCCATGTGATTTGTATAATATGTGCTGACTCCCCGCGGCATGCACAATGGAAACGGCTGCCTCCAGCACAGACTACCACTGTGACAAAGAACACGTCAGACGGGCAAACTGTACACAAACAAGCTTCAACATATCTCCACACACAACCAAAAACAGTGCTCTCATGTCAGTGCATATCAAAAATGTTGGGTTGATTTCTTTGATGTGTCACTTCAGGTATTTTAATAATTATGATGATGGTTTTGCTTTTTCGGTTATCAGCTTGTTGCTCATTCCCTAAAATGATTTTGAGTGTGGAGGTTTTTTGATTATCTCTCTTTTGATCATTGTTTTCATAAGGCCTTGAATTGTCCTTGCACAGACAAGATAGAGGAAAGTATGTTATGGTGAAGGCTGCATGCTTGAAACACCTCTCACTGAGATAACTTTCTCATGCTCTGCCTCACCGTGTATACACCATCGAGGTTTATGGCCACCGTAACTGCAGCGGCCTCCATGACGGGGCGGTAGGTTCATGTACGTGATGAGCAACATGAATAGCTCATTCTGAAATGGCTTGATACCAATTTATTGTCAGAGGAGATTCATGCCTCCCGAGGTGTGGGAGCCATTTTCAGATATTCTGTCTCATTAGTGCGGATAAGGGTGTGTGAGAAAACACCAACGTGTCGGCAGGTGAGATAAATTCACTCAGTATTCTGACTCCCTGATTCACCAAAGAAACTCACATTGACGTTGCCTAAAAAAAAAAGGTTCAGAGTGGTAAGACTTAAACCAGCGTAATGAACCAGTCTCAACATTCAGCAACTGTTAAAGCACTGCTCTCCTCTATTGTTTCTTGTGTGACAGCTGAAAACTATTTTGGAGGAAACAAAACAGCAGGTACTTAACCAGCGTAGAGAGAACATTACCTTTTGTCCTAACAGGCATTGATTTGACGTCTCCTGAAGTTCCTGTTGTTACTTCTCTGATCTTTGGTCTATATTTAGCTCACTTAATATATGCACGTCTTGAGCAGAAGCTAAATCTCTCTTTTAAGGTTTTCAATCGATTCTGCGATATTCTTCTGCAGCTGTGGCAGATATTCACACACCACCACACTCTCAGTTGTTCCCACAGTCCCACCCCATGGCTTGCTTCACCACTGAACCCCAGCCTGCGTCATTTGGGCCTGATGTAGGTCTGTAAGCAAACCAGGGACCGTCTCCCTCCACCACCACCACCACCCGCACCACGAATATGAAGAGCACCAACAGCTCCAGCACTAAACGCATCATTTCTCTCTGGCAATGAGAGAGAGGCTGAGGATAAGAGAGAGGACGGGATGAGAGTAAAAGTTAAGAGGAGTGGGACAGAGGGAGCAAGAGCTTTCGTGGAAGACGAATGAGTCATGCGGGGAAGGGATACGGCTGAGGAGGGGCTGGGGAGAGAGGCAGGAATATCTGAGACTGCGAAGAGGGTGAGGCCGGGGAATACAAGTGGCACAAGGGATTCTTTCTTTGGCGGCCATCATGGCTCCCTTTCTGAGGCTGACCCTGCAAATGTCATGTGGGAATCCCAGCTACAAATCACAGCTGAAACCACACATCGCAGGGCAGTCCCCAGCCCATCCAAACCATCTATCTAAACCATTACGCAGCTCCTCCTAGGTCAGCAGAGCCATCACTCACAAAGACGGTGGAAATACAGTCAAAACGAGGTCAAAGGAATCCGACAACTACTTTTTTGTTGTGATGAAAGTTAAAGGAACTTTGACCAGGTTGGCCGTCACTCTCAATGCTATTACATCTTTAATAATGCTGTTAACTGTCAAGATATCATGACGACATTTAACCGTAAAGAACTTTGAGTTAAAGCTCGTCAAAGTCAGAACATCACTGCCTTCACCCTGGTATCTCAAGCTATCTCCCAAAGTCACATCTCGACTCCAAGTTTATGTTTTTAGCACGTATGCTTGGTATCGGCATCAGAGGAGGATTTTACTGCTTCTTACATATATACAGAGTATTTTAACGATATGAACGAAACTTTGGTTTACATTTCTCATCACTTCCTTCAACACTGTGAGATGGGGCAAATTTTTTATAATAATTTCCCAGGGAATAATTCATGTACCCTGATGGAAAAAACATCAAGCTTATTTAGGGAGCTAATATCTCTGAGTATGTGCAATTAAGTGCGGCTTTATTGTATTTAAGAGGATTGTTGGACCTTGGCGGAGGTATGCGCGCTACTGAGTGCCATTCTAGTTTAGACCTTAAAATGTTATGCCTGTGTTGTCATTTTCTTTCACGGCTTTTAGTTTTATTTGAGTTCCCACCCGCTCAACCCTGACATGAGGACATTCTTGAACCAGATTTGGTCTGTGGGTGCAGATTTGTTTTGTCTACCGTAAAGAGAGTGTGAAAGACAGAAGGACATGATCGGCTTCGTGGCTGCTGCATCAACTCAAAACAAACACACACAACAACAACACCTGCCGCGGCTCCTTTAACAGCCTCTTCATTCATTACAGACTGGACGGATCAGAGAGTCAGGGAAAGGGATGCTTCAAAGCCACTTCCGCTACCCAGAAACATCTCTCATTCTCTCATGCTTGTCCCTGAGTGGAGGCTGAAAGGTCTATAGTCACACAATACTACAGTGTTTGACAGGGCTGTCATTGGGTGTGTGTCAC